CACACCCGCATTACCGTTCAGCTGAACGTTTTGTGTGCGGATAACCATTTCGGTCTCGTCCTCGTGGACAGGAGCTTTCGCTTTGCCCTTGGCCGTTGTTGCACTAGAAGCTTGTTCGATGGTCAGAGGAGGAGCGGCAGTACCGTTCTTCGTCTCGGCCCCTTCCTTCTTCCCTGCACCTTCAAATTGCTTCCTCACCCTATCGTAGTGCCTCAACTCGTCCGCACTAACACTAGGCACCAGCTCCTTGTGTGCTTCCATAAAGTCTTCTTCCGTCACCATGACAGCAGTATCCTCCTCTGTAGCGAAATGGTCGAAGAAATAAGCAATGGTAATGGGTGGGTTATGTGTTGAATTGTATGCGGCGACTTTCTCGTCCACTGATTTGGCGCTCCGTGTGATGGCTTTGAGCATGGCGTCGGAGCAGAGGGCATACATGTCTGCTCCCGTATATGTGAAAGGTAACCCTTGGGATACGCGGGCGAGGCTAACGGACGGATGAAGAGTAAATCTGCCAAATCGTTAGTAACCGTAAACGTCTTCCCATTCTCCCTAAGCCTTGAATGACTGAAACATAGGGGAAAAGAGATGTAAACATACTTCCTAGTCAACGCCTCCAAAATAGTCTGCTGTTTCTCATGCGTATCGCTCACACCCAGATAAAGCATCTTGTCGAAACGACCAGGTCTCAACAACGCCTGATCCAATAAATCTGGCCTGTTCGTCGCACCAATAACAAACACACCCTCACCGCCATCACTCATGCCGTCAAGCTCAGCGAGCAACTGACTCACAATGCGGTCCATGACACCACCGCTGTCACCCTGGTTGCCGCGCTTCGGTGCCACGGAATCCAATTCGTCGAAGAAAACAGCACAAGGACGCGCATCACGAGCGCGCTGGAAGACACGGCGGACGTTGGCTTCCGACTCACCAATGTACATGTTGAGCAGCTCAGGGCCCTTTACGCTGAAGAAGTTGAGGGAGAATTCCGTGGCGATGGCTTTTGCAAGGAGTGTTTTTCCTGTTCCGGGAGGGCCGTAGAAAAGGATTCCACTGCGCTTCTTCATGCCCTTTGCAAATAACTCAGGACGTGATAGAGGAAGTTGGATTGTCTCCATGACAGCGTCTTTGACGTGCGTGAGACCTCCCACATCAGACCAGCCCACGTTGGGGATCTTGGGCGCGCCGATTGCATCAGCAAAGTTCTTACGTGCGGCGTCGACGGCGGTGTCAAGATCAGCTTTTGTGAGACTGTTGCTAAAGTGACCGCCAGCTAGTTCAATGTCGCGAGTGGTGATTGTGTCGGGTGGGGTAAGTGATTTTGAAGCAGTCACAGCGAGGGCTTCGAGGCGTTGTTGCTTTGCGACGAGAGCTCTATCGACAACATCTACGAGGTCGCCAGCTACGAGGGCGGCAGTCTTGACGGCGACGTTTGCTAGATCAACTTCAGGGGAGAGACGGATGCCGGCGTCGTCGACGATGCTTCGAAGAATACCTTCTCTTTCGCCTTCGTCAGGGGCTGTCATCTCAATCTCATGGGTGAAGAGTCCGCGGATACCTTCTGGTACCTTGTCGATTTCGGTTGTTGTTGCGATCAGTACGCGAGAGTCGGCTAAGATCTCTTTTAATGCTGTGTTCATACGATCAGCGTTGAGTGCGTCGACATGCTTGACCAACAGTGCTGTAAACTCAGCGCCACATGTCAAGGCTCGCTCGGCCCTAGCTTTCAGGAAGCCTTCAGTTTTGACATCGCCACCTCCGGCACCGCCTTCAGTGACGATATCGAAAGCATCGATGGAGAACGTGTGCAGGCCAAGGTCTTCACAAGCTTTCGTCGCAACGGTAGACTTGCCAATGCCACGTTGGGTTGAAGTAATCAAGACGGCGATAGGCGGCAGACCTAGGTGGATGGCTCGAGGGCTGGTAGCCACGGACATGAGTTCGCGCAATCGTCTTCGCAGCGACGAGATGTAGGGTTTAGGCAGTTCGTCCAGTGCCATGGTCTTTTGAGAGCTTGATACAGGAGCTCGTTTGGCACCTAGATAGTATTGCCATGCATTGTTGATGGGAGCTGGCGTCTTGCCTTGCTCGCTACCGTTCATCTCCATCTTTGTGCTAGCAGCATCTACCGTCACAGCGCCGCCCCAAATATCAACTTCTTCGCCATCGTGAGACGTGTGAGCAGGACTTGATACATTGCCGATCTTGAACCACGATACGACCTTTGGATTGCGGCTGCTGACACTTGTGCTTTCATCACTAGCGGTTGGCTTGGCTCTCGCGAGAAGCTCGTCGTTACCGACGTCCTCTTCTGATGTAGTTTGGAACACTGCACGACCAAGGGACTCGTCGATTGACACGCCTATCAGGTCACCGCTCTTCACTATCCGCCGCTTTTGCTCAAAATGGTCTTTCAAGGCAGCGAACAAACTAGGTTGAAGTAAACGATCGGACGATAGAGGTGTTGATACTTTTAGGAGCGTGACCTCTTTAGCGGATGGTGGTAAAGAAGAGCTGTTCAACCGCGGCTTCTGGATAGCGCTCCTAGGCAGATGCGAAGACTGGCTGGGGGTCAATGGGGTGATACGAAGGTGAGAAGGACTGCCTAGGTTTGCAAGAAGAATTGGTGAAAGATAGGCATGTAGCGACGAAGCTGGTTGTGAGAAACCCGAGAAGCTGCTTCGTCGATCAAGATCCGAAGTCTTCTGGACGGGGTATCGTGCCACCTTCTTGGACATGTTTTCTGGCAAGCCGAAGACCCTGACGGGGCGCCAATTCGTGTTCTCTTCTTCGTCTGCTCGTCCGAATGCGCCCAAGCCCCAGAGGGGATGTGACGAAGGGGCTTCGGTACCTTCGAGCTTCACCCAGTCGCCCGAGAAGCAGCCAACCTTGACCAGTGTATTTATGTCGACGAATACACGAGCTTCTTCGTCGTCTTCGCTTCCAGGCTTTGGGTGAACAAGATCATCGGGAACGCTCTGGAGGAGCCCCTGGGCCTTGAACACCTTGCTCTTGCTTGTCGGCCCGCGGGCTGTCGTAGCCGTGAAACTGGAGTAGACTGATCCTGGGGTCGCAATTCCGTTGGTACGGAAGTTGCCGGGTCGGGGCGTTGCGGATGTAAAGGACGAAAGCACACCGGAGGACTGAGGTGGGAGCATAGGCGCATTCAGCGAGATGATGTCGTCGGACTCGTCGGACAGATCTCCAGCATCGCTTTCAGAGAGCTCAGACTCGAAATTATCGGTAGATTCCTCGTCTGGCGGAGAAGCATTGCGCGAGTTGTCTTCTGCTGCGGAGTAGAAGGTATCGTTGGACGTATCGTCGGTTTCGTCGTCGTCGCCGAATCCATTGGTAGTCGCAGACTGCTTAACGGGTGGGAGGAGGACAGCTTGCTTGGAGCTGCTGCGATGCGATTGGAGTATGACGATTCTCGTGCTCGGTAGCAAGAGACCTTGCGACACAGGTTCCGAGGCGCTGATCTTGGCTGGCGGAGGTGGGACGTGGGTGATGGGATGAGCGGGTAGCTTCAGAGGAAGCAAATCGCCAGTGTGGAGGACAGTGGGCAGTTGTAGGGCTTCGCGTACGGCCTGTCGCCAAACCTCCTCTTGCGCCGCGAGGTCGACGGCCTTGCCCTTTGTCCCGTTGGCTTCCAGACGGCTCTTGGAGGCTCGCGATGCACCATTCATCTGGGTAATGAAGCCCCCACCGAATTTTGCATGCACCTCGTCCAGCTTCCGCAGCGCTTCCGTGTCCAGATTGACGTAGACGGTATCCAGCCCGACGGGTACAACATCGTATATGCGCACCTCGATGGGTGTGTCTCGCCTCTGCGTCTTGTTCGGGGCGATGTTCTGGAGGAGGTGCGAAAACGACTGGAGGGCGAGGGACGACGCTGGGATCTGGAGAGACGAATGCGGACGCGCTGTGCCATTCTCCGTCTTGTCGGCTGGTCGCACCGGCAGGATGGTCCAGGGAGTATTCTGGGAAGCGACGATGGAGCTCGGTAGCCAGGGGGTTATGGCGACGTGTTGGACGCGATGCGAGTCTGGCGTGTCTCCGTTCGCGGCTGCTCTTGTCAGCGACTTTCCTCGCACACTCACTACCAACTCTGCTCTTCACATACCCGCGCTCCTGCTTCTGGATCCAGGAAACAGGTCGTTGAACAAGTCCTCCGACAGCACTCCGACCTCGCCCTTGATGCGGTCGTCGAGCAGTAATCGCGCCGAGATAGGAGGGCGGTCAAGACGTCTCCTCCGTCGCTTCTTGTGTGCATGAACGACTCCATTCTGCGCGTCCATGATGGATTACTGGAGAGTGTCTGCCTCAATGGACAGTGTTGTGAGCATTGGCGGCTCTCTGTTTGTTGCATGCCATGAGCCCGGCCATCAGATAGTAGTAGAGCCGCATTGCCTCGGCAGAGCTAGTCCGCTCGGAATGCATGGGTACGTGCGACGAGCCCCCGCGTCTACTGAACTGATTGGGGACAGTAATCCAACAGGCACGCCATTCGCTCTTGCAGTGACTCCTAATAGTTCGACACCGGAGTCGAGTCCGCAGTCTCTTCACATGTCAAACCAGTGCGAACGCCATGCAAACCATAGCCACACAACAGTAAACCCTGCTTCCATCTCTCGCTATGAAATTTCCAAACGCGGTAGTTGACATGCATCCCGTCTGGAGATCGCTTGTTGATTTGCCGCGTCCTTCTTCAACCCTGACGTAATGTTGTCTCCAAGCAAGGCGCGAGCAGCCACCGCGTCAAAAATATCATTTCACAAAAAAGCCGCAACATGTCTTTCACGTCTTTCAACCTCACCCTTGTGCCACACGACCTTTTCTGCGCGTTCCGACGATCGCAACCATCCACCTGGGAACAGATCACTGGGAACATAACACCGGGAAGCGTCTGAGCTGCCGAACAGCCGTACTGATGCTCCGCGGAACCCTGGATTCTCCACATCATCGTTCTCGAACCGCACGACTTTACCTAAACCAACATGCCGAGTGCCGCTGTCACATCCGTCAAACACCGTATTGAAGAGCAGTTCAATCACGACGAACGGAAGAACAAATCCAAGACACAAGCCGCAGTAGATTTCGCACACCAGGCCGAGCGTCTCGGACAATACACGCCAGACCAAGAAGATGAGAACACAGGCTCTACACAGGCGGTTCAAGCACGCTTCATAACGCCGCAAGACCCCGTTGTCGAAACCGCAAACGGCCATCGCTTACCTGCCGTTCCGCTTGAAGAAGCGACAAAGCTGAACCAGCTGCGAGATAGTATTGACGACCGTGATCCCGCGCAAAAAGAACCTTTGGAACCGCGACTGAGAGAAGCGAAAGATGGGACGGTACATGGTCTGCTTCCGAAAGAAGCAGAGATGGATGGTGAGGGCAAATCTGATGTTCCACTGGGAGATTCGAAAGCACCATGGAAGACGAATCCTCTTTTCCCGCCTCTTCCCATGTACGGACCGCCTACGCTCATGAGGCAATGTCAATGCTGGTTCTTTCGATTCTCATCGGGTATCTTGTCATTTTTATTTCTGCTCGTCATTGTCCTGGGCGCTGGCTTTACGTCACTCCCGGGTATGTGCAAACACCTTTTCCTCCTCCTGACATTCCGAGATCCGGAGAAACGGCGCCCCTTCCACGAAGAAGAAACCAAACGAAAGCGCGCACGTCGAGAGGCAGAAAGAGCATGGAAGAAACGCGACACCACACCGTCAGCCAAGAAACTCGAGTCTGGAGAAGACAGCAGCCCAATCGATGACTTCTCACCTTTGGATGGCGGTCCTGATCCTTTAGTCTGCGACGTACGCCACTACGCCCGCCGCGTAGGTCTAGACTGCGAGATCTTCAACGTCCAAACCGAAGACGGCTTCATCATCGAACTCTGGCACCTGTACAACCCGCGCGACTACTCGCGTACAGACGCTTCTGCGCGCTCTCCCCATTCCCCCGAGCTCTTTCCCCAAGATGGCACGCACGTCACCGGCTCGCAATACTCCAATGGGGAAAAAAAGTATCCGGTGCTTATGATACACGGCCTCTTGCAATCGGCCGGCGCATACTGCACCAACGACGACGACAGTCTAGCTTTCTTCCTCGCAAAGTCTGGTTACGACGTTTGGCTCGGCAACAACCGATGTGGGTTCAAGCCGCGACACTGCACATTGCAATACGGAGATCCACGCATGTGGGCGTGGAATATTCGTCAAATGGGCGTCATGGACCTTCCCGCACTCATCTCTCGCGTCCTATCAGAGACTGGGTTTGAGAAGTTGGGACTCGTGGCGCATAGCCAGGGAACTACACAGACCCTCGTTGCGTTGGCCAAGGAACAACGACCCGAGATTGGGGAGAAGATTAGTGTCTTCTGCGGGCTGGCGCCTGCGGCTTATGCGGGGAAGCTGATAGGAAAAGCGCAGTTCAAGTTCATGCAGGTTATTAGTCCAAATATGTTTCGGACTGTTTTTGGGATTCACGCTTTCATTCCTTTTATGATGATCATGCATAGTCTCTTGCCAGGGAGGTTCTATGGGTCCATGGGATACCGTGTCTTTGCCTTTTTGTTCAACTGGACAGACGACCGATGGGAGCGTGATTTGCGGAACCGCATGTTTCAATTCGCGCCGGTTTACGTTAGTGCGGAGAGTATGAGGTGGTGGCTAGGAAGAGAGTGCTTTGCGCGGCAAAAATGTATTTTGGCTACGAGAGAAGAGAAGATTATGGAGGATAGGGAGGATGAGGAGATGGAACACGAGCAGGAGGTCCAAACTCACAACCAGTCTCACGACTTGGATGACGAGAGGGAGGACAAGGGTGAGAGAAAAGAGGCAGAACGGTACGCGTGGTACGGTCCACAGACTCCCCCCTTTGCACTCTGGGTCTGTGGTTCCGACGATTTAGTCGACGGCCGTCGCCTACTCCGTCGCTTTGAGCGCGGAAGAGAACCCTACGTTGATGTCGTACACTCCAAGGTCATCGAAGGCTACGAGCATCTCGATGTCATTTGGGCCATGGATGCGATTGAGAAGGTGGGCAAGGAGGTTAGAGAGACGATTTGGAAGACGGCGGATCAAGAGGCACGTAAGGTTTGCAGAACACCAAAGGGGTGCGAGGATATCAGGGAATTTTACAACAAGGGGGAGAAGAAGGAGAGTAGGATGAGGGAGGTGGATGCGAGTGCAGGGGAGTGGAGTGAGAAGGGGAAGGAGGCTGTGGTCGATGGGCCTGGAGAGTAATGCTGTTGTGAGTGACAGAGTACACATAGACGGCGCTTTTGGTTTCCTTCAGCACATGATATCCCCTGTCCTTCCAAAGGAGGCAGTTTAGACTAGGAATGGACATGGTTCGCAACATCAGCTAACTTGGCGCACAAGGTTTGTGCATACACTGTTAGGATCGTCGGCTTGCACTTGATAGTTCACTGACTCTCCACACCGCAAATCCTGGCCACCAAAACCGTCCGAGGCACAGCAAGTACGCGAGCTTCCAGTGCTGTCTTCGCCATCACACCGCAAGGGACGGATCCCTGAAAAACGAGCGGTCTTCCCGCTGTGCCGCATGGCCGCCACGGTTGATATGGTTGAAAGCGGCAAGGCGTGTCTAGTTGGTCGCGGACTGGTCGCGTACATAAACAAACCGTGCGCCAGACCCCTGCAGCGACCCCACCAAGCTAGACCAACGCGGCGCTCCTCACCGCTTGAACCCAGAACACTTCTGCCTCCAGCGTCGACGCCAGGAACTTGAAGTCTCCTTCGACAGTCGTCTGTTTGACACAGCAATACATCCACCATGCGAGGAGAGGTATGTTATGTTGGAACGGCTTCTTTTGGTGCTTCAATTGCTCGTAGGGCAGTGGGGGACCCCCGCCTCTTGCGCCGACATGCATCAGATGGAGCTTCGTGCTGCTGTTCATTGTCTGGTAGCAAGAGGACATGAAAAGAACTAGGAATGGGGACGACTCAAACTCGTCGTATGTTCACACAGCGCACACTGCTAACACCAAGCTCTACAGATCTGCCACCTTCACATCGGCCAAGCTGGTACCCAGCTGGGTAACAGCGCCTGGGAGCTGTACGTTGTCGCGAAACCGCATGCGCCCGAAGGCTTGTTGACACTGTAACGCCAGGTACCTCCTCGAGCACGGTCTGCTCCCCGATGGTCGTCCCAACCCCGATGCGAAGGAGCTTGGTGAGGGCGGTTCCTACGAGACCTTCTTCACCGAGACTGGCAGCGGCAAATACGTCCCCCGTTCCATCTTCGTCGACTTGGACCCTTCGCCAATCGACGAAATCCGAACCGGCGCCTACCGCCAATTGTTCCACCCTGAGCTGTTGATCAGCGGCAAGGAGGATGCTGCCAACAACTGTGCGTGTCGGGAAGCTGTTGGGAGACACGGAGATACTGACGAGGATAGATGCTCGTGGCCACTACACCATCGGCAAGGAGATGGTTGACAGCGTCATTGAGAAGATCCGTCGCGTTGCTGGTGAGTCGGACGCTCGACTCCAACACGATGCGCCTGCTAACACGCGCACGCAGACAACTGCTCCTCGCTCCAAGGTTTCCTCATCTTCCACTCTTTCGGTGGCGGTACCGGTTCCGGTTTCGGCGCGCTTCTCCTCGAGCGCCTCAGCACCGACTACGGCAAGAAGTGCAAGCTCGAATTCGCCGTCTACCCAGCTCCCCGCGTCTCCACCTCGGTCGTCGAGCCCTACAACGCCGTTCTGTCGACACACAGCACCATCGAGAACTCCGACTGCACCTTCCTCGTTGACAACGAAGCCGTCTACGACATCTGCAGACGCAGCTTGGACATTCCCCGTCCCAACTACGAGCATCTCAACCGCCTCATCGCCCAGGTTGTTAGCTCCATCACCTCGTCTCTGCGCTTCGATGGTGCGCTTAACGTCGATTTGAACGAGTTCCAGACCAACCTTGTGCCGTACCCGCGTATCCACTACCCGCTCATTAGTTACGCGCCTGTCATCTCGGCCAAGAAGAGCTCCCACGAGAGCTTCAAGGTCTCTGACCTTACCTTCCAGTGTACGTCAAGACGCTATGTCAGTCCGTCCGGTGCATGTCTTGCTAACTTGACCAGGCTTCGAGCCCAACAACCAAATGGTTGTCTGTGACCCTCGCAACGGAAAGTACATGGCCGTTGCCCTCCTCTACCGTGGTGACATCGTCCCCCGCGACTGCTCCGCTGCCGCTGGTGCGCTCAAGGCCAAGTCATCCTTCAACTTGGTCGAATGGTGCCCCACTGGTTTCAAGCTCGGAATCAACTACACCAAGTACGTGTCTCCCCTTTTCCCCATTTCCTTCTCTTCATTACCCCATTTTCTCACACTTTTCCAGGCCCATCTCTGTTCCCGGCTCCGAACTCTCCTCGGTCGACCGTTCTGTGGCCATGTTGTCCAACACTACTGCCATCGCGGAAGCCTGGTCCCGACTCGACCACAAGTTTGATCTCATGTACAGCAAGCGTGCGTTTGTGCATTGGTACGTTGGTGAGGGTATGGAGGAGGGTGAATTTAGCGAAGCGAGAGAAGATCTTGCAGCACTTGAGAAAGATTACGAAGAAGTGGCTTCTGATTCGCTTGACGATGAGGTTGAGGAGGGTGAGTACTAAACTCGTTTGTTTTTATATTCAAAGGGAGAAGTGGTTAGCTGAGGGAACAAGACATTTGGGCGATTGTTGCTGCTGAAGCTTACTCATGATGTAAGTGGTGGGACTAGTTTCCGCTGGAATGGTATACTTTACATCTTACTGCATCTTGTGTTGAATTGATGTTTCTGTTGTTGTTGTTGTCGTCGTCGTCGTGTTCGACTCACGTGCACGGTATACGAGGCAGGATCTGAACGGGCGTAGAGGTAATCAGGCCTACGTTATTGCCTATGTCGGCTTCTGCTAAGAGAGCTTGTAGAGATTTATAATATTCTAGATTTCTATTCATGTCTACACAGTATCTTTCATGATGGAGGATTATGCAACCAGTCTATTGGAGTTTTTCGTCTCCCGACGAATATTGCGCTGAAGGAGAGATTATGTACAAATCAAAGGGGGAGAGAAGCCCGGCGCACTGCCCTTGGCTGTCTGCAGACTAAATCTAGAAAAAATTGTTCGCTTTACGCGTCGAAGGAAAATGGAGAAACAAGACGACAAAGAAAAAAACACTAGGACACTTTTGTCGTTCCATGAACCTATCCCACCACTACTAGGCTTTCCACTTGCAGGAGGAGAGAGAATGATCACTCTCAAAGGAACAGAAGAAGAGGAAAACAATTTCACCACTCTAGTGAAACCTCCTCATCTCAATCCCATCAGTCCGCGATCGTTGCGGATGACCAAACGTCCTCTCACTATCCGCCGTACTAGGCAGCGCGCCCGTACTCCTCGGCATATCCGCACTAGCATTGCGCATTGGCATCTCCTCTTCCGCCGTTGCTCGACTATGCACAGCCCTAGGGCTAATCACACCGGTCCTAGGATCCAGCTTATTCTTGCGTCCATTGGGAGGGGTATCGTAGTCGCTGTTTGCTTCTGGGATATCGGCCATGGCGGCCTCCTCATCTGCGCCGCCGCCATGGCTGTGGCGGGAGCGGCTGAAGAAGCGGTTCCGGTGCGTGCGTTCCTTGAGGACGGACGAGGCGTTTGTGCCGACGCGCTGGAGACCTGTGGAGCGCGCGGATGCGCTCGTGTCTTCCGAAGCGCGGGCGCGGTCGCGGTCTTGGCTGCGTGAGGGAGATGTGACGCGGACGACGGTGGCGCGCGCGCGCGATTCGGCTTCGCGGTCGTCGAGCACGTCGCCTGATGGGTCGTCGAGGCCCATGCTCTTCATTCCCAGCGAGAAGTCGACGCGCTTGTTCATGGCGGATAGCGTTTCCGCTACGCCCGGCTTGCGCAGGATGGAACCTGAGCGCGTGCGCCCGGTTGCGGGTCCAGCCGTCGTACCGCCAGGTGATGCAACGCCTTCTGCAGGCGCGACAAAAGGTTGGTCTTGGGGTTCGTTGCGGATGTTGCCGTTGGGCTGATCGGGCGTGCCGTTGATGCCAACACCAGGTGTAGCCGGGTTCTGCAGGTTCTGGAGGTAAACGGGGAAGCTCTCCTTTTGGCCTGGGTAGCGCATGCGCGGGCCCTCGATGCCGCATTCCTGGATGGCCATGGTGAGGGCGCAGATGAATTTGTTGCGGCGCTGGAGACGGAGGAGTTCGTTTTGCCAGTTGGATTTGTAGAAGAAGACGACGTTGAGCTCGAGCCAGTGGACTTCCTGGACGGCGCGGAGTTCGGTGAGGATGTTGGTTTGGTATTCGCGCTTCTCCTCGGTGACGAATTCGAGGAGGACGTTGCGGAGTTGCTCGATTTGCTGGAGCGTTGTGCCGAACTTGATGATGATGGGGACGGCTTCGGCGAGGGCTCCCGATCGACGGTGGTTGAGGATGAAGAGCGTGTTGAGGTAGCTGTTGGGCGCTTGGACAATGTGGCCTTGCATCTTCTTGAATTCCGTGTAGAAGAGGGCAATCTCCTTGACGAAGTAGTCGTCGCCGCGGCCTAGATCTCCCGTGTTACCGTAGACTGTGACACGGTCACCGACATCGTAGGGGTGCTTGACGAAGACGAAGATGCAAGACTGGAGGAACTCCTGAGCGGTTGCGGAGAAGAGCCACGACAGAGCGAGAAGGGTCGAACCAGCGGATGTAAGCACACCCGCGGCGGACGTCGAGATGAGCGAGATGAACACGATGATTGTGATGATGAGCACAATGAACATGAAGACATCGTCGAGCTTGGAGACGACGCTATCGAGATCCTTCAGGGATGCGGTGATGGACTTGCGTTCACGACCAATTTCGACACAGACAGCCTCGAGTTCTTCCATGGAGATGTCGCCGTTCATGTCCTTGTCGAACATGGAGAATGCAGCGGTGGCTTCGTCGTCGCTGTCGAAAGCGTTGTTGAGATCCTCGGCATGAACTGTCTCTGTCTCGGGTCGCGCAAAAGTTCGGTAGAGTCGGCGGGCTAGGACCTGGGCACCACTGGTTGTGCCAATAAGTTGCAAGACGACCTGGTGAGGATGGCCACTGCCGGTCACCGTGCGACCTGTGAAATCCCCAGCAACCTTTCCAGCAACGTCTCCAAACTTGTTGAAACCGACTTTGATGTTCTTTTGTGCCTCTGTGAGGATCTGACCGGGAGTGCGAGCGCCAGATGGAGCGTGGTCTTCGTTTTGTTCAAACTCTGAATCTTCCATGGCGATCTTCTCTTTGGAGAATCGGTACAGCTTGGCCAAACTTCCAATCTGGAACTTGTTCAACTCGATCCTGTCTTGGTAAGTTCGGAGATGGAAGCTGATGGCGATGAGCTGGATGATGATCTTCTCGATAAAGTTGAGGACGAAACCAACGAACAGAGAGACGAGAACCTTGTTCATAGTCTTTTCCCAGCTTTTAGTGCTCTTATTACCATTGACGTGATGGTTCGTCATCGTCGGTAGGAAAGACACTTCGATGGCTAACCACCAGAAAAACAAGGTAGCTGGAAGTTCGAGCTGTTTGCCCATGTCTCTCCATTTCTTGCTGTTGTTGGTGAAAAGACTAGAGACGAGACCGATAGGCCATGGAAGGAGTTTAGCAAGTACCTGCAATGGATGTCAGTGCTAGTAAATGCGAAAGGCGAAAGATACTCACTCGTCCAGCCCAAAGCGTCAGCCATATGATCATAAGCCAGATGGAAAACCAAAGAAGCTCAACACCCCCGACACTAGCATTAGGAAAGGCAAATATCGCAACCAATATTGGAATGAGGATCAGGAGAACCATGGGAGTAATGTACGTAAAGTACCTCACAAGCCACGATGAGTTATGAATCTTCTTGAAGAACTTGGAGAAGCTCGTGGTCGGGTTCTCAGGTGGCGTATAGCGAGCTGCCTGCTCGTGCAATGGGTTCGTCGCCGCGTCGAAGTCGTCTACGAGGTCCTCCCTACGGGATCGTACGCGTGAAAGAGACGGGTTCATTGACGCATTACGCCTCAGAGCCTCCTTTTCGTCCAAGCCTTGCTCGATAGCCAGCACAGCAAGGTCATCGTTGAGCCTGCTCGCCTGCTCACGTGTCTGCGAAGGCGATTGTACGCCCTTCATGGCTGGGATGTCGTGTGCGGTTTCGACGGTAAGATGGGTGCCAGATCGCGATCTCATGTGTGTTGGCCGTGCCCCAGTGTCCACACGCAATGGATGCTGATGTTCGTCCCCCACAACTGTGCCGTCCTCGTCGGAAGATCGCTGGTGAGGGTATAGGTTACTATCCATATCGTATGTCGGCTCCGGCCGCTCGATGTTCGGTGTCGTCATGGTGTCGAGGCGCGCTCAGGCCCAAGTTCGACAAAGTGTCCGACCGAAAAGCACTCTGGGGGAGCGATAAGGAAGCGACTGTGTTTGCTTTCGCGGCGATTTCTTTGTGGAAGCAAAATCTTATCAATGAAACGATGGTGTGCTTTTCGACGCCAGACTAGAAGTCAATGGCATGCGCTCGACCTTCCGGCGGTCCAGGGTCAAACGCGAACTGCTGCAACGGGATGACGTCAAGCTCTGTGCCGAATTTTCCAGATGGTGTTTTAGCGAGTGACGGAGAAAAGCGGCTTGTTCTGCAGTGATTAATTGATAGTACGATGCGATGGAGAAAGAAGAAAGATAACACAGTGGAATGAACAGCAGCGATGTTAGCAAAGCATGAGGTGGAGCATGCCTGGGGTTAAAGGAGCAGCGCTGGGCCAGGGATTATTTTTGGGGCTCCCGATCTGCGATTCCTCATTTTCGCCTGCCAACCCTTCGTCACTGACTGGCGCGAAAGGAAAAATGGGTCGTGGACGCGACGGTGGACGAGTTGTGGCCATGGCAAACACACCGGGTGGGCCTCGTCGCTTTGTCTAGAATCTCTGTTGGGATCGATTTTGGTACAGAAAGCTGTAAGGATACGCGTCCGCAACCAACCATAGCCATCGCGCATACCGCAATAAGCCCGTTATTGGCCTTCAACAATGGTGCCGGGTACCTATCTTGGTCGCGATGCCGATGACAGTCGTGTCGCATACACCGTTAGGGTTCTGCCAACAGTTTCTCAAGCGACAGCCACCGACGTCACCCAGCATTGCAATGCAGGTCCCGGACACTTCTCTTGTCGGTCCCTCAAAACTCTGCAGACTGTGTCTATTTTGAGCATGTGCAGTCCTCGGAGGTCGCGCGACACACAGGCAAAAAAGTTTATCAACAGCTGCTGCTCGGTCGCTCAGTCGGTCGCATCGACTTGGGGATTACTCGACCGTTATTTCTTTATCTTTCACGTGTCAAGGGATCCCAAGGTGCTTATCCTTTATTTCAGGGTCATTGCCGTTATCGCGGAAGGCTGTTTCGCAAAACGCCCGTGGCGTGCGACAAAAGCTTGAGCGTGCCGATCCTAATGCCGCCCCTGCATAACCAAGGCATTCCTTGGAATCGTCGTGGGGGTCGGGATCGATGCACAACACCATCAAGAGGGATCTCGACTCCCAAGTCCGGACCCGCTGTATCGCATTATCTCCATCTTTCTCCCCAGATGTGATCCGGCGATGTGCGCAGGATGAGTGTCCCTGTGCAAAGTCAGTTCCAGACACCGGATAAGGCGGCAACTTTCTCAATGCTTGTCGTGACACCAACCCAACGACTTGTCGAGCGGGATACTCTCCACATGTTATCCATATTGACGATTCATGATTTAGGCAGACGACGTGTCCTCGCAGGACAGATTCTAAGCGATACGTTCTTAGAACTTGTGGTGGAGGAAGCTTGCTCGGCTTCCACATAACCCGATTCCGTTGGTACCAAAGGTGGTGGGTCGCTCTCTATGCAATATGTCATAACTCGTATCCTACGAAAAAGCGTCTTTCACACTTACTGTGATGTAACTTGTCGTTAAAACCCTACTCCTAGTGCGGAGGGTCGGAGTAAACCTACATTCGTCCGAAGCCTAGCGCTATGGATGTGACGAAAGACTGTTGGCTTGAGTACGCTGAAGATTAGTAACCGAACGGCACGACCTTACAACAATACTCGAACAACGTCATTCACTACTCAAGTACGGCGGTGTAGATCAAAATCATTATTCGAGCACAATCTGTGACAGACCCTAACAACCCGGGACGGCGCGCAGAGAGACATCGAATATCCTTGGAGCGTTGGAACATTGATCAACACGATTCTACGCCATCTCAAGCAGCTTTACCTGATATTGCTTGGGACGACGGATTACTCGATTAGGCAATAGCAGGAGTCCGTGGGTTGTAGCACCTTGTACGTGAAAAGCAAAGCCCCTTGCAGTAGTTGACTAGTGCTGAGGTGAAGCTGCTAAAAGGGAAGCGTTCCACCAGATTCTGCCGTGATCGATAGGTGAGGATTGTTGCCTGTCCGAGTATGCATCCTTCTAATTCACTCCGTCACGGATGATTGCTCGAATAGGGAATATTGCAATCGGTGTGAAACCTGAAAGATTGATGTGGAAAGGGACTGGACGGCCTGCTACGTGAGACAATGGTGGATGACCGAACGTAAGCCAGTATATGCACGCAGTATTACCATCAGGAGAAACACACAAATTCGGGTTTCAAACTCGAATTTTCTTGGTCGAGAATTGTTGTAAGCATACTATGGCATAACCGCTGGAGCCCTCGCGAAGAATGGAAACGAAGACGTCTCTTCACCAAAATGCCAGTGTAATCGACAGATTATCAAACCTTCCCAATTGGGAAAGAGGGGTAGCACTCTGAATGGTGCGCATTGTCGAAGTTCAACAAGCAGAGTGTGTTCGTCTCGTTCCGATTCAATTCGTGCTTTAACCCAAAGACCTTTGCTTGGGGATCTCTCCGGCTACGAAATTTGACTTGGTCGGTACGATATGACTGCCAAGGACAGCGCGAGCGGCGAATCTGGGTCCATCCCTTTTTGGTTAGCTCGGCACCTAGGCATACTTGTCCCCGATCATGTTTCCACTACATTGCAACACCTATACCCCCGGCGATTGTTCAGCGATATGATAGCAGTGTTCGATGGCCAGCTGAAACCTCCTGTTCCTGTATCAGATGCAACACACGAGGTATGAGTGCCGGCCCAAGGCTCTTCCGCGGAGCATCCGTCGTCGAAGCTCACCGGCGTTACTCGCGAGACAGGCCCAGAGCATCGCTCAGAGATTTGATCGAGCAGCATCTTCTAGCCAATCATGCTTGTACCACGGAGGAATGAGACGAGAGTTGTGATGGATGCCTGCGACGTTGTGCGTAAGTGAAGCGTCATGCAGCTGCGTGCTTCGCCAAGAGGCGGGCATGGCTGCGGACCAGCTGCGGCTGACACCGATGACATTCGCATCACAGCTAAATAGACAACAATTCGGTACACACTATCTTCCAGCCAACTTACCAGCAAGTTAAGGACGCTAATTTACTCAAAGAGAAAAGATTCGCGACTTGGATGACGAGCATCCGTGGCTGTGTCAGCTGCTAATGAGTCTAGCTAGGCTGAGGCCACCGACAATGTTTAGAAAACTGTGAAATATACCAAGTGAGCCTACTTCACCTCTTCTCGTAATGCGCCTCGATGAATAGACCTAGGCTATCGGACGAAGTAGTAGCTACAAAGGCGATTGTTGCTATCGTTCCGTACGATCCTTTATCAGATGGTATATACATCCATAAGTCATACCCCAAGGCTGTATCTCTTGACGCTTATCAATACCCCGCCTTTTGCCTAAACTTCAGCTTTGCATGTTTGTATGGATTAGTGACCTCGTTATGGTGCGGCTGAAAAGCGGTATATTTAAGGTTATATTTCCACAGGGTTAAAGAACTCCAGATCATAGCTTTGCTCTTCACATCGCAATCAACTATAGCGATTCTGATCCATCATGGCCGAAGCGTTTGGCATCGCAACTGCAGCTGTCGGTTTGCTTCCGCTTTGCAGGGGTAGGCAGACCTCATTATCCGAGAGTTCAAGGCTGAAACCTTGCAGATGGATTCCGGTTGGTGCAAGACGTCGTAGGAGCCTCAGACGCATTTAAAGAAGTCTCTTGGAGGGTGCAGTCTCAAATCAACGTGAGCAACCCCCGTAACATGGCGAAAGTCCTAATCTTATGCGAAATAGGTTTTTGAAGCATGGCGACGACCATGGGATCTCGACGGATATGAGTGGGGAAAATTCAAAGAGTATTCGAAAGAAAATCATTCCGAAGCACTGGCCATTGGCCATGAGCTTGCGTTGCTATCGTTTACTTTATGCAACGCCAGTAAGCTACTGAGCAAATACGGATTGAAGCTAAAAGATCGTCATCGTCATGAACAAATGTGAGACTAGTACGCAGAATTCTGTCCATCGTTAACCTTGCATTAGAAAACCTGCTGAGATACCGAGTCCTGATATGAAGAAGCTATTAACTTCCGAAGCGTCCTTCAAGAAGTGGGTAAACGGGTGTAAAAAGAATTTGCCATTCATCCAGAAATGCAGATTTGTCCTCACATCCGACAACAGCAACGCGGATACTCTGGTCGATCGCCTGAGGGAATGCAATGAGGCTCTGCATCGATTTAGCCCTCCTGCTATACAAGTAATACAAACACAGAACATATACTTCGTCTTCGGCAAGAGCGCTTCGGAAGAACAGGTAAAGGCGTTGTTTGTGGAAGTAAACAGGGCGAAGAAATCAAATCAACAATCGTTGCCATACCAGGAGTTCGCACGCATTGCCGAATTCTCCAACGCAGTAAAGGACCAAAAACTGGTGGCAAAGGGGCAAAAACGGTCCCGAGAAGTACGACGATTTGAACTATCAGACTTCCAGACTGATCCAGATTACAAGGTCTCGGGGTCGCAGGACGCGGAAATGGGGCTTTTGAAAAAGTTCCCCTTTCCAAAGGAAATGCGGGTCGTATACATCGAGTGGATGTCTGGCGGCAGGGAGGTCGAGAGGGAAGCGAAGGCGAAGGCGAAGGCACGCATGCTCTCAGTCAAGATGTCGGAACAAGTGCTACTCCCGACCTGCTATGGTATCCTTGAGGATAATTCAGGATACAGCAAGCGGTTCGGACTGGTCATGGCGCCACCAGATCACATTAGACTCAATCTCAAGTTCATGATGCCAGGGTCCATCTCTCAAAGACGGAAGCCAAAATCCTTGCAAACGATCCTTCAGGAGGCGAGAGGCAGAAGAGAAGACCTTGGGATACGGTTCAATTTGGCGAAGAAACTTGTTAATGCTGTACATAAGATGCATTGTGCAGACTGGGTCCACAAGTTGAGTATACTCTTTTGATTTCGTACATCGGGCTTTTACATCCCAATCCGAACGCATCACTGATTTATTCCTCTAGAAATATTAGGCCCGGGTCTATCATGTTTTTCCCTACTTCATCGGAAGTTCGGTCTAGCAGAATCTCCTCGACACCGCGACTCGACTACTCCAAGCCCTTTTTGGTGGGTTTCGGCCATGCGCGTATCGACGACCGGAGACTGGGGAGAGAGGACCCGACTCGCACCCAGGCGCCAGGAGAAATAACTCTTGACGAGTATCAGCACCCGAAGAAGATCGAAGCGCCGCTGACTAAGTATTCACGCTTCTTCGATGTTTATAGTGTAGGCTGCGTGTTACTTGAAATTGGAATGTGGCAGCCCTTGTCTGAGCTCGTGGTGATACCAAGGCGTGGAAGACCGGCAGAAGCCAACAGGGCGAGGGAAGACATGAAAGCAAAAGCGGAGTCCCTGATTGGGTACGTCTTTCCAAGCATGTTTTCCAGGCCGAAAAATATATACTGACTCACTACGACAGTGTCACGGGCTCAGTATACGCAGCAGTTATCAAGAAATGTCTTGATGTTGATCCTCATAGTGACCTGAGCGAGGAGAAAAACAACGATGTTTGTGCGGCTTTGCTCTCGGAGCTCATTGGCGAGTTGGGTAAATGTTCAGCATAGCGTAGCCATTCGATGAAACCCTCTCCATTTTTTGACGTGCTTTATCTTATCAGAAAGCATCGATTTCTGTCGCAGGCCAAACGCTGTTAACGCGAATTATGTTCCTAGTCGTGCTATGCAATGGCCTGCATATAGTCAGTAAACTACCGGCACGACCTTGGAGCTCAATCATCAGTCAAACTATCTGGCGCTGACCTGAGCGTATAGGTGAGGTTTTCTACATTGGTGAAACAGACCAATTTAAGAGTAGCTTTCACTTGCGCTTCCTCAGTACCAAGGAGAAGTTTAGAATCATGGATGCTGCTAAGGCGGTGGGGTTAGAGGCTAGGTGGCAGATCAGGGCGTAGGGAGAGGTTGAGGATACGCATAACATTGAGAGGGAGCATACAAGGCGTCAGCTTAGCATTTACATTCTGCTCGCTGGCGGAGATCTAATATAGACACGTTATTTGCATGTTATCGAGTATAGAATATATCGCGCGCACGCCGCCCCAGAAGACAATCACTATTGCAAGACCAGCGAGTGCATTCTGCTTATATCCCTGCAATTCTAAGTTCGTTCAGTGTCTGCCATTCCTTGGTTACTCAGTACAAGTGAGTCCATTCCTATCGCCAAGCCTGCTCCATGAGTTCTTTCACGCCTCGTGCCTTCATACCCCCTTGTCCAGGTATCGCATCGAGATCAAGGAACCCCTTGGCGAACAGTATGCCAAAAGTGGCTATAAAAGATTGTAGCATCTGCTTTGGAAAGAAAGGGTATAGGTCCCTATGTCCAGGTAATTCAGTCACTTCAGACTTTTGCAGTTTCTCCAACGGGTCAAATTGCACATCGAACTTGACGCCTTTGACTTCTTCGGCTAAAGCCACGAACTCTTTCCATGTCAGCTTCTCGCCAACAATATAGGATTCTGGTTGCCAGGTGGGGAGGTCGAGCAGACTGGCAGCAAAACGCGCAACATCTGTAGTGTGCGTGAAAGCGACAGGCACGTCGCCAGATCCAGGAATTGCTGCAGCGTTGTTGGCCATATCAACGACGACAGGGAATGGGCCCATGTGTGACGAAACCTTGGGTATAACGTAGTAGTCAAGAAAAAAGCCGTTGATCACACAGGTATACTCGAGAGACGAAGCCTCGAGAGCTGTCATCGCAGCAAGCTTAGTTTCGGCTACCGAAAAGATCGCTTTCACTCTGTACTACAATGAGCAGTCTGTTCGTCGATGATTTACAAGAAAGACTTACTCAGGCGTGTATCGGATTCCCCAAGAACTTGGGATGTACCGCTTCGTGCTGGTGGACAGATCCGCGGCTCTGATCAATGCTATCTCTGGCTCAGCTCCAGCCATAGTGTCCAGAGTCGAGATGACCGTGCCGACATCATTGGACTGTAGGACATCTCTGATAGCCTCCACGTTGTTGTAGTCAAGCCCAAGTACAGGTACGCCGAGCTCTTTGGCTTTGGACTCGCTACCCTAAAGCTCCATGTCAGCGAAATACATAGCAAGCGATACAGCTACGAACCAGTCGAGCGAGGACGACGACCTGATGCTTCCCCTGTTCAATGATGGCTTCGACTATAGTACGGCCGAGCTTTCCGGTTCCTCCTGCGACAGCAATGACAGACATCTCTACGGCAGACTAATTGTTGTTGGAAGATGATGCGTGGTATAGTCGACCAGTACTGATGTGCTCTTTGATATGGCTCAACATAGCACCCGGCGACTCTTTTTATACTGCGCAAGACCATAAATACACTTGGCAGGCGGCTTCGGAACCTCATTACATCCTGAATGACCAAGCATACCTGGGTACTCGCGGCCTTTGTAAGCAAATCGTAAGTAGTTGTTGTTCTTAGCAAAAAATGCATCCGTCTTCTATACACGAGGAAAAATACATCCGGCCTTACTAATACGTCTGTGCGCGGTAGTCTTCGGATGCAATTTGTATCCGTAGGCAATGTCACATGTCGACAGCCTCCTCAGACGTTATCTCACATGCGTCTTGAGGCCGGGGCGATTTACGAGTGTTGTGGGAACAAGGAAGGCCTCGAGCGTATCTACCCTGAGATGGACTAATGTTCTAATGAGATGTACCACAAAACGTGATCGAGAGACGATTTCGATCACGTGATTATGCTTTGTAAGCCCTAACTTACCAAACCACAAGATTATGTGCTCTCAGCCCAATCTTCTCGATAATCTCACAAGTGCAAAGGAGTGCGAGCCTTCACAACCATGCTCGGTCGTAAACGAATTATGAACGCAAGTATTCTCCAACTCAACAAGAGAACCTTGAAAGTTAACGAGATCGCTTACCTACATCAGGCATGCCAGCAGTGCAAGGAGAGAAAAGGACGCTGCGACGGTGGTAAACCTTGCTGTAGTTACTGCTCAAAGTATGAGAAACACTGTATCTATACGGTACGGCGGCGACGGGGCCCTGGAAAGAGGTAAACGTGAATAGGAGTTGTACAAGCGGATGAGTCGCTTATCTTGTGCAGTAAAGAATCAACCAAGCCCTTCATACAGCAGCATGACCAGGGTAGATACCCTTTGGAATCAGAACCTGGACGTACTGTTGAGAGCGAACAATCAAGAGGCCACGAAGAGGTGCGTGACGACACGGCAACTCAGGACTTCAGGGAAGGTAAATTTATAGAGGAAAATCTGGATTAAACTGTATAAGACTGACCACACTGCTCAAAGACCAAGCCATTTCAAGACGCAATAGCACGGATGAATCAAACCGGAGTCCTTGCAGTATCAGTGAAACCGAAAGGATGTTGCCCACAGCCGTCAAACAATTTATAGCGTTTTCTGAAGATATCCGCACGACAGCAAGACAGATGCAAGCTCGCATACAGGCGAACCAGAGCTGCTTTGAGAGGGGGAAATTTACATCGCTTCCTCCTGAAGATCATGCAGTGGAGTTGATAAGGCCAGTCATTGAGGAGGTTCAGCTTCACGGGGTGTTTCTTACGACGGAAGATGTCCTGAAACAGCTCATCGAACAGTACCGTGCCGGCGTGGACGAGTGTTCCAGTGATCCAAGCCGATGGGCTACGCTTTGTTCGTTCCTGGCTATGTCTGCACATCATAGGACAGCCAGTGGGTCCGTCGTTGGAATGTCCTCAATAGCATGGGCATTCTTCAAGAACGCGTTTGCGACGTACGTCGAGCTCGCGATTGTTCAAAGGCCTCAGATCTCCACCTGCGAGGCATTGCTCGCAATGACTTTGTTCATGCTGCGCACCGCTGATGCCTGCGTTGCTGCACGACTGGCAGCTACTGTCGCCCAGTCGGTGTACATGCTTGGGCTGCACAAGTACGAGCGCTATATCCATCTGGAGGCTGATGTAGCAGAAAGACAGAGAACGATCTTCTGGGTAACATATGTTGTTAATGCTGATCTAGCACACAGGTACGGTACACCTTCATTACTAGACGTAGATAATTTCGACATTACATTTCCCGGACACGTATATCATCATGTTTCAGACCATGTGGATCGCATAGAAGATCTCATACAGACTGAGCAGACCATTTATCTCCGACGACGAGCTGTCCTTGCTGTGACGCAGTTACGGATTCACAAAGTACTTCAACAAGCGCTCTCCTGGAATGCCAAGCGGGAGCTTTCTGATATTGAAGATGCCATCACAGCAATCGACAAAGAACTTCAAGCATGGAAAAACTCTTTACCGATTAGCATCCAGCCAGGCTTTCGATCGCACGAGTCGCCGCTCCTCGAAATGCCTATCGCTATGCTACACTACATCTATTTTAGCTGCATAAGCAAAGTCAGCATGGTAGTAGTATTGTTAGCCCGTCCGATGGTGTCTGATCCCGTTTCCGACGAACAACGGGCTGCTGAATTGAATGCATGTCCTTCCAGCAGTCAGCTAGCTAGAGCAGCCTGTGTAATTGCAGCCCGGGAAATACTTCGCGTACAGCTCCGCTTGCAATGGCAGCCATTGACACATCTCTGGTATGTATTCTTTAGGGTTCGCTAAATGACAATCTCATGTCCATTAGCTAACGGCGTCGAGGCAAACACTATGCTTCCCACTCTCCGCGGTTCTAATCTTGTTGTCAGAAGTACTTGCGCATCCAGCGTCAATTCAAGCGCACACTGATGCTCATCTCATTCACGACTTCGTTCAACATCTTGAGCGCCTCCAAGAAGAAGGAAGCGATGTATGTGATCTACTAGATGGCTGTAAGAAATTGTATAGTATTGCATTGAGATCTGGTGAGCAGACAAATACCTTCGAACAAACAGCAGAAGTAAGTGATCCATCTACTCCCTTGCAAGACGAACGACGATAAGCTGACCATTTGAAGATTCAATTACTGCGATCGAGATTATCGCAAGTCACAGACTGGTTGCAGCTCGCGCAGGGACTGTTAAGCAACATGCCCGCACCCCACAATCAGGCACGCGAAATCTTTTCCGACATTCTTGGACCAGCTACAACGGATGAGACATACGGCGCTTTTGTCCCAGCGTTCATGAAATCTTACACACATAATTTCTCATTCGGCATTTGAGTCGATCCGCATTACCAACATAGAATCGATCTTCCCACTCTTCCTGCTGTCACTTGTACAGAGCATAGCTATGCTAATGCAGGTAAAACTGCGATTCATACGCTCTTAAGAAATTTGCATTAAAATCCTTGATCGAATGTATACTTCACTGTCGTACAGTGGTTGGTCACAGAGACTTAGATGCCTGTCTTCCTCCTTGCTAGCTAGTATGGCGCGTCCAGTGCATCACGGGCATCTCTGTATGACCTGAAGTCCTGATGATCTTGCTCCGGTGCGCCGAGCTGAGTGGCATCGCCTGAATGAGTTGGTTATCGTAAAGTAGTCAATTATCCAGTGTTACACTCATCAAGCCGCATACAGACGCTCGGAAGATCACGAACCGATGAGATGGGAAGAAACCTGATTACAGTACATGGAATGAGACCATACCCCCCCTCGCCTGGAGCATCTTT